AAAATAGAAGAATAGATATGGATGTTATATTGGAATGATATATGCCAGATTAACAAAAAAATAAATATATTTTTCTTTATCATTATTACATATTTGTTGAATTGTTAAAAGTACATGGTTGAATTAATCAGTTATGTGTTTCAAATGTATTGGATATATTTATTATTAATTACTAGTATATGATATATATTTTAAGTTACTATTACTGGGCGTTCAATCAATGTGGTCGTTCAGATCCATGTTTTATGTGTACGATTTCGAGACAAGAGCGAGCTGACAGGAAATACCAACGCACATGTCGGTGTTGAAAATGGGGTCAGTGTTATTGTTTACATTACGCCCATGTATAACGATTTTCGTGTCTCGAAACTGCATAAATAACGTGTTCGTACAGATTTACGGAAACTGTCGATGTTTACCGAAGAGAGGCAAAACGTTTGTTCAAAGCAAAGGGTAGTGCTAAGAGTCAGTGGTCAAATATGAAATGCAGTTAGACAAATTGAATACGATGAGCAGAAAGGTAAAAGAATGACCTACAAGCTCAACACACGTTTTTTAAAAAACCCGTAAGGTTTGATTGAACCGTACATTAAAATATTCGGGCTGTCCGGTTTTCGATAAGGTTTTAGCATCGCGAGTGTCAACCCTTGTGTATTTTATGTAACGAGTGTAGCGGTATAATTTTCTAAAATGTTCATTTCTTCACCGATTTCGTTTAAATTTGAAATATATGTGAATCATAACATATAAAAACAATTGCAAAAGTCTAGATTATTATTTAAAAAAATTATTGTCAAAACAGTGATGCGAACGCCTGTGGTCTTATCCCTGAGGACGAAACCCACACACAATAGAACCGTGTGACGCTATTATACTGTTACGTCAATTCAAAGACTTGGTTTAAACTTAAACGATTACTCAGATGATTGAGTGACAACCAAAAGTAGAGTGCTCTCTTAATGGACAAGAAAGCGGTTCACTCCAAAAAGAAAACAAATCATTCAAAGTAGTCCTAATACATTTTTGTTACAATCATTCAATAAGCAGATTTTGGAAACAATTTAAGGACTTATTAAATACATACCATGCAAGACAACCAATGAAAAAGGGACGTTACAAAATGATGTGGGCTCACAGTCAGCTCATAACCCACAAATCTTCACAGAGAACATGTTTGTTTCATTCAGAAGTAAGTATTGATTTGAAAACTAATTCTATTTAATTAGAGTTAAATAACAAAAGAAAAATACAAGTTGTGCAAAAAGTATTCGGACAAAATGGCGACGTCTTATCGATAGACCCGGGAGTGGGTTTGCAAACACTTTAATTGATGCATCATTTAGTCATCTTGTTGTACATATTGTATGTAACATACTCCTTTGTTATACTCATGTACCACCGATGGTGGATTATTTTGAGTAATAAAAACTTGTGATGATGGTAGTTCAAAATCATAAGATATTTTCTCTAAGAATGCGAGCAATGAACTGAAACTTACCTAATATTTAGTCCCTTCAGTCGGATAACATTCATAATCCGCCTTGGAATGGAGTTGTACAAGGATTGCACGTATTCGGCCGTGATAGAGGTCCACATGTCTTGAATTTCGCGTACAAGGTCTTCACGAGAATGGATACGATGTGCTCTTCCCTGTAATTTCCTTTTAAGAAATATAATTTCAAATTTGAAATATATGTTAATCATAGCATATAAAAACAATATACGATTGCAAAAGTCTAGATTTTTGTTTTTAAAAAATATTGTCCAAACAGTGATGCGAACCCCTGTGAATACGACGCTCGCATATTTCAGTATCAAATAGGGAGATACGTGTACAATGTATTTACATGTATCCATATTCCTTGCCCCTTAAGCAAGACAAAGGGAATACGCAGAATGTATGACCGGTAAGTGGGACACAATAGTTTGTATTTTGCTGTTTTGGTGACTGAAACCGGATTTTCTTGATAAATGAAATATATAGTATGTATTTCGTTTCACGTAAATATCGACCGGTATGCGAGGTTTCCGGTTATCTAGGGTCCGGATAAGCGGGGTTCCACCATAGATAAGATGAGAACACGAGACCCCGACAGCTGTCATGTGTATTCTGTATTGTATGTGGTATTGTAGACAACAGGGATTCTACTGCAACGATGTTTTCGGGGTTTTGTTTCTCAAAAAATACTTTATTTTCACAATCTCGCCGCCAGTTGCATGTAGGCGCGAAATTGTTTATCCATTGTAACAAAAAACTTATATTTTTCGGAGTTGAAGCTAAACCTACCTGTGGTAAGATCATTGATTGATAACAGCGAAAAAAGACATCAGAACACCACACAAAGGAACAATATTTCAACTCAGTTTAACTTGATTCAGCACATATTCACAGCGTCATTCAAATATTTGACCCATGGTATTGCAAGATTTTGGATCCTAGGCGAGGAAAGTCATATTCGTCGAAAAACTAAAAATTGTTTTGTTTTGCAATACATAAAGATGTGTCTTCTTTATAGCATTATTTAAATAATTCGTCCACGTGTGAAAACATTTTGAAGATGGCAAGCCTCAAATTTGTGCAAAGCTCATTGGTTTGTTTTTATTCATTTTGCAAAAAACAAAAGGTGTTCAATACTGACAAATCTATGAATAAATATTTCTGTCGCACAAAGTTGTTCTCCTTACATTTATCAGTATTGTAGTTACTAACTTCTCACATGCCAATCACTAAAGGTGTTCCAATCATATTTAACATCATTTATCTTATTCTCAGAGTGTGCAAATATCTCATCGACGGCCGAGAACAGTGTGGCCGATGTCAGCAATGTATCCATGGGCGGATCCAGGAATTTTGAAAAGGGGGGGTTCAGAGGGTTTGAACCCCCTAAACCCCTCATTTGGCTCCGCCAACGCAAAAGAAATCTTCAATGTGGTCTTAAGTCATTTTCAAAAGGGGGGTCGGGGGGTTCGAACCCCTTGAACACCCCACACACCCCACACCCCATCCACCAATGTTATCCGTTATAACATATGCTTATAACTACCCTCCCTTCACGATGATTTCATGCTAACTGATAATAGTTGATAGGAAGGACAATATTGCAAAATAAACCCTGAAAAAAACTTCTCATGTAATTGCTAGCTCATAGAAGTGTAACGCGAAACGATTAGTTGACGCAACAATGTTGGCGCTTTCATAAATATTAATACTAAAGCCAAACTGGCATCACCGAGGGATGGAGAAGACAAATTTAAACACAAGGACGTAAGTGTATGGACTAGAGTTCAGCGATTATGTGAGTATCGTGATGGCTGATTTTTCCACTATGCTGCATAATATGTACAGAGACGAGTTGGGTCACAGATGAAGAAGGACATATGTTACATTGTTCCACTTGGTGGTATAGTAGGAACTGTAGCGTGGACAGTCAGAAATGTAATCGCCCTGGGGCATGTCCAACTGCGTTATCACTAGATGAGGCAGATAAAGAGTCATGCATATTTTATTGCCTGAATTAGTTTGGTTATTAAATGATTATAGAACTATTAAGTCAGACACAACCAGCAGACTGACAATGCAACGAAAACTAAGCTGATAATAATTGCTATGTTATGAAAACTGAGTTAGTAAAAATAAGTTGTGATAACTAACTTGGTAATAATTGTTATGTTATGACAACTAAGTTGCAAATAAGTATTATTTTATGAAAACTAAGATGGTACTTATTATGTTGCGAAACCCATAAAGGTTATCGATGGAAATTGTTCCCTTCACAACAGCTCACATGACGAGATTCAATGTCGCATTTTATGTCGCAATGTAAACATTTAGCTTAAATTTCTACTCTCGTTTGCTAATGTTACACTTTTATGTTCCTTTTGGAAGTTGAAGTGATACAAGTCCAGAATACGGGACTCGCAAACGTTCTTCCAGGAATGGTAGTGGAGGTGAAGGAAACATTTTCTTTGGAGACAAATGTTCTACGTTTGAGGTTATTAAATACACATAGCAGATCACCAGTGCCAACTGAAGAGAAGTAATGGCAGGACTTTTTGAAGATTATTCGGTCTGGAATTGGAAGGGTAGACATAAGGCTTTTGGCAGATTACTATTGCTACTGGTGTAAGGTATATTGGACGTGGTCAGCAGCTTGCCAACATTACTAATAATTCTAGCAATGTATTGCTCTTCGCTCCGCATCTTGAGCCTCATGTCGCACATCGGAAACTTTAGATTCAATCCTTGTTTAGTAAACCTCCTAAAAGTGATTTCAAAACTCATACAAACTTTTAACATCCGGATTCCATTGCGAATCTTTTCATTTCCATTCCTGGTTACAGCTAATACTGAAGACAATTTGAATTGATCTTTAAAATGCGATGTCATTTGCATCAGATATAACACTTATAGTTATACTCGTATTCACTGAAAGCTATTGTGTAATATTTCATATGATTTTACTTTTCCACTTAAGAGTTAAACCTCTAAAAATGTCCCATGTCTCCTCATTTATTTCTTACTGACTGACTGAGTTTTGGTTTTACGCCGCTTTTAGCAATATTCCAGCAATATCACGGCGGGGGACATCAGAAATGGGCTTCACGCATTGTGCCCATGTGGGGATTCGAACCCGGGTCTTCGGCGTGACGAGCCAACGCCTTAACCATTAGGCTACCCCACCGCCCCTATTTCTTACTATCTACATGGGCATTGTCATGGCCTATATACTAATGTAAACAAATGGACAAATTAACAATGGTTGGAAAATGGAGATTTATTTCAGTGAAAAGATAAAGAAACAGAATTTTATGTATCAAACATGGCATAAGATATTTACCAAGTTAATTCCGGAATACATTCTGAGACTAAAGCCCGAGACCAGTAAAGGTTTGTACTGTCCAGCTAGCTCACATAACAACTTGGTTTTAAAATAAGGTTATAGGAATCATATTTCAAGGAATGTCCTGTATGATTTTAGCAGAACCCCAGATCAAGGGAAACTACTCTAACCATCAAAGTTTAAGGGGATGTTGCAGACCGTCAGATGGGCTTAACATGAGGGAATGTCCGACCAAAGCTCCCCTTGGGAGTCTGGTAGGTACTACGGCTCCCAAGGTGGAAACTTTGAATTCACACTTTCAGGTAAAGGTCGTGGAAAAACTATTCGTTCTAAACATGTCGTTTTTTATAAACAGGGTTAACTTTATTTTCAACTGTGCGGTATCGTGAATAACTTTTATATGACTAGAAGCCCTAGAATTTAATCATACAGGATGCAGGGGTGCGCACCCCTCCTTTTGTCCAGAAAGTTTGTTATATGACCATTGAAACTCGGGTGGAAATGAAGTGTGACCACACACACACACACACACACACACACACACACACACACACACACACACACACACACACACACACACACACACACACACACACACACACACACACACACACACACCTTTCTCAATAGTGTGCACCCCCTTTTCTCAAAAAGCTGTATCCGCCCCTGCTATGTATATTCACAATTATGGACAGGTTTTCAGTGGACCCTGAAACAAGAGGTAGACTGGGAAGAAGCAAACTGTGCTTGAGATCATGATGCTAGGGCCACATGCTTCACGTAGTAAGCCTTACACATTACACAGGTGATATTGTAAAATCACATAATCTGTGGTTCCTTTTTGACGCAGATGACATATAGATCTATCTCTCATTTCACCCACTTAACATTATGTCTATCGAAAATACATTTCACACTGTCACAACTATAAGAAAGAAAGTGTAATCCCAAATTAAATTACAAAGAAAGTCTAATCCCAAGTAGAACATATGTTCCATATAAGAAAGAACTTCCCCAGACTCAATGATGACAAGAATGAGCTGCTGAATTCATCCCATGACCAGCTGAGCAGTTTATTTCCATGAGAATTGCCGACCTAAGCAGACTGTTAGTCGTTCACCTGCCTTTAAAATCAGTTAAGATAGACAAGCAAAGTGAGAGCAGACAGACAGTGGGAAGAGCGCGGACAGACCAGCAGAACCAGGGACCAGGAGGGACGAACTGACCAGCCAATCCAGCCCATCTACTGCCAAGTGTCAGCCTCTCTCGGACTCGTAAAATGTTTGCCCTGCCTCACATAGTTGTACAGCGAGAGCAGAATCACTCCTTCTCAGTACGCCATTAGGACTTGTGTTGTTTGAAGAGTGCCAGAAGTGTTACATGAGCCATTGAATAGAAGTCCTTTTGTGCTTGAGCTATCACCATCTCTCTCTCTCTCTCTCACTGAACATTTGATTTCCATTTGATATTTTATTGTGCCGATGTCCTAGACCTCAATCCATCCCCGGCCCAAATAACTCTAGAGGAGGTGGGACCTGTTTATTGATAACATCCCAGCTGGCAGGCAAGATCTGTAAGAGCTCGCAGGTTTTTGTATAACGGTGTGTATTCATCTGGGTCGAACAGTTTTCCACCACCTGAAGGCAGTGTTTTCAGTCATCCATTATGTAGTTTTCACGCTATTTTGCAGTCTACTTCAAACGGAATCAGTTAGTTCGAAAACTGGTCATTCTCTAGTATTGGCGTTATTGTTTAGACTTGCTACAAGAACCATTGTTTATAACATCAGTATTGAAATAAAAATTTGGTGTGCTCCTATATCTGTGGTTTGTTTGCCATATATAGTATTGACCGGGCAACATATTCAAACAAGAGATATGCAAATCTCAACAGAGATCTAGATATTTATAGAACCTTTTATAATAGAAATGTTTTCATACACAAACAATGTCAACATTTCTAACCTAATATGTAGAGGGATCTGGCACGTTCAGCATTCTCTCTCTTTCTCTCTCTCGATGTATAGTGAGATGAGGCATGCGCTCGCACCCACATCCAATCTTAAACAGCTTCCAGATATTATATCTGCACAAGCCAGATCAGTCTTCGTCATATATCCAAATAGGGCTGTTCCAGGAGATTCTAGACCACCCTTGATTCCTAAATCATCCTAACATAGTAGCAAGCACACTGCTTCCCTCCACTCAATGTTAACCGATAAAATGGAAAATACAATTACAACATTGTTTTACGATGAATTACACTTCCATAAATTAGTTCACTGCTATGTCGGGTCCAGACTCGATTATTTACAGAACGCCGCTATATATCATTTTAATATATATATTGAGTGCAGCGTTAAACAACAAACAATTCCACATAATATCATGCATATATCTGCATGAACTTGAATGAATATTTAAATCAGACATAGCATATATAACATTGTATTATGTTTACACTGCAATATAGGGGCGGTGGGGTAGCCTAGTGGTTAAAGCGTTGGCTCGTCACGCCGAAGACCCGGGTTCGATTCCCCACATGGGCACAATGTGTTAAGCCCATTTCTGGTGTTCCCCGCCGTGATATTGCTGGAATATTGCTAAAAGCGGCGTAAAACCAAACTCAGTCAGTCAGTCACTGCAATATAATCCAATATGGATGCCTCAAGTTTTGGATAGATGTAAGTAAGTCCAGCATGTCCTATATTGTTTCCTCTGTAAACTTCAGACGGCTTTAAATTTGCACATCTGTCCTCAACCTCAGAACGTAAACCAAATTTAAACAATCAAATATTTTTGACAGATTGAACTTCGTTCTTTTCTGAGACTGCCAAACCCTCTTGAGTTTTTGAGAATCAACATGCTATTGATACCGCTTGTCGAACACCAACTTACCTCTCTTTGTAATGTTTTTTTTAATGAAGCTTTGGAATTCAGCACCTAAGTAGAGTGGACATGATTTAGGTTTTATATTCAAGCCAAATGTTGATGGATGGTTTTGACAGATTTCTTCTTGTACATACTGGCCTTATATCTGGCATATCTTTGACGCAAGGTCCCAAAACATTTACTTGCTCCTGCACACATAACAAAGACGTCGGTCAAGCAGGTTCTATCTGTGTAGCCGATTACGATTTGTCTATCCACTTATTTTACTACATGTTGCACCCTGAAGCTCATCTTGTTGAGAGGGCACTTTGACCACGGTTTCGTAACACAGTCGTTCTCTTGATGTTTGCCATAAACGTTATTTATTTGTCGATATCGTAATTGTAATCTGCAAATTACTCGTTCCACAAGGTTCTTTCTCGCTCCAACGTCCAACACACACACAACACACACAAACACAAATTTGAGTTAAAATGCACTACAATTGCAAAGCCCCTACAATACGTATGTCAACTTATTTACTCTTCAAATCACACATTCTTATCGAATACAAAATTATGTTTAAAAAAATAAATAAATAAATAAAAAAATCAACTTGACACATGAAATTATGTGCATGTTCTCTAAATATTAATGTAAATCCCATTCATATGCTAATCCGGTATGCCAACCCATCTGTTGCAGCACCCAGTCGTCTGTATATACATAGCCATCACTGCACTATTCTCCTCCATTAGTACAAGTGCTGGCGACTGAAGATGTTGATTCCTATTGCTGTGCTGGTCGTTGCAACCACCATCGACGTTGCTGCCGAGAGCGCCTTGTGTCCGCTTCCTAGTCATCACGTGCACTTCGGCTACCACCCTGGGTCAGAGGATGGTAAGCTGATGTATTTATCCAACACCATTTGGTAAATGTAAATGGTTTTACTGCCATTTGAAGAATTTTTTACTATACTTTGTTCCTTAAAATATGATATAATGTCTTAAATATGCCCTTTTGAGGCTTTAATATCGTCTCCCAAAAATATCTTCCAAGCAGTCACTTTTATCACAAAGCTACCATATCGCCCTTTGGGGGTAAATCATTGTGATGGTTTATTAGTTTGGTTTATTTGTTGTTTAACGCCGCACTCAGCAATATATCCAGCTATATGGCGTGGGCTGTAATTAATCTGTAAGCCTCTGTCGCATGTGTTGCTGAAGACCAACTCTGGACCAATTACAAGTAGCCCAGCCTGACAAGGGTTCTTTATTTACTGAAAAACGAACATATTTGCAGGTAGCCCAGCCTGACAAGGGTTCTTTATTTACAAAAAGCGAACATATTTGCAGGTCGACCAGTCTTACAAGGGTTCTCTATTTACTAAAAGCAAACATATTTGTAAGTAGGTTGTTTTATTGAAGAAAGAAGGTGTTCGTTATAAACGTACCTTATTTGTTTACTTAGGGCTACGTTTTGCCCACCGGGGCAGACAGACCTCTCTAACAATTCCAATTAAAGTTTAAGTTTATATGACTTTCGGCATAAATATCATATCTAATATAATGATAATAATATTGTGTACTTCTATAGCGCTAATTCCATACACCAAGTGCATGCTCAAAGCGCATCCCAATAGACAGTTGATAATTACCCCGGATAAAGCAAGCTACCTGTGAGCCTGTGAGCCTGTGATATGACATATCCCACCGGGTACCCATATTCTGCTGAGTGAACGGAGGAAAATTTGAACAAACTCATTTGCCGAAGGTGATGTATCACATGTCCTTTGTTGTGGGGCAGGACTGAAGTCCTAGAAACTCTCAGGAGTCAAGCTGCCGAACATGGTCACTCATCCAAGGAATCTCCGCGCCCATCGTTGCTTAACTTCAACTGATTTGGGACCCGAGCTCTATACTCAGGACCACACGCCGCCATTTCTAATAATACTTTATATTTGTTCCAGGTCCTTCTCACTGGACCGATCTGGACCAAGACACTCACTGCTGTGGCGGGTCCAACCAGTCTCCCATCGATATCGAGACTGAGGACGTGCACTGCGCACATCTAGGCGACATCTACTACGAACCCAAACCAAGAGGTCTACTTTCTGGCAATCTCAAAATAAACGGTAAGTAATTGTTTTTGTGTTTCGTTACTGTAACAAAGACTCAAGACAACCACTGTGCAGAGATAACGGTTCTTAAGACATTAAGGGACGCGGACCGTTTGATTAGTTTGGGCTTGTGTTGGTGAGGGATGGTGGTTGTTGGTTCCACGTGAAATGCTTAGGTGCGATGGGGTAGCCCGGCCAGTGGTTGAAGCGTCCGTTTGTAACGCCAAAGGCCCGGGTTTGATTCCCCTCAAGAGCACAACTTGAGAAACCGGATCGTATGTGTATAGAACCAATAATTTCACAATTAGTCTGCCCCACTACTTCTCTTTCAAGCCGTGGTGGATAGGGTACTTTGTCGATTCTTACTGCATTGTGACTGAAACAAACCGCGCTCATGAGACGCTCTTATATGTAAATAGGCGCAGAAGAAGAGGTAACATCAACTCCACAACGGGATTGTTGGGATTGGGTGCGGGATATATTTGTTTTTGTTGTATAGCGCCACAGTCAGCAATATTCCAGCTACATGGCGGCAGTCTGTATCAGATTCTGGATCAGACAATCCGGTGATTGACATTATGATCATCGATCCACGCAACTAGAATACGATGACAGTCCGCGAGCCTGACCACCCGATCTGTTGCAACAAGGAATTGGTTAATGAAGATCCGTTTTATCCCGGATCTTCACAAGCAGTATTTATTAGAATAGGGAGCAGATATGGCGTATTCCACGGCATTATCGATAATCGACTCTTACCTATAACCCCCTGCAGGGCATGGTGCGAGTCTCGCCTTCTTCAAACAGGATCGCCTCGTGACGAAGGACATACCTTTCACTGACGGCGAGTACGTCCTGGACTCAATGCACTTCCATTCTCCCTCGGAACATCTCGTCAACGGCAAGCACTTCGATGGGGAGGTAAGATGTCGGTCGTTTTTTAGATGAATTGTTTGGCGATGTTTAAAGAATTTCTTTTAAAGGAATCAAACTCAATGGACTTCCATTCTCCATCGGAACATCTCGTCATCGGCAAGTACTTCGATGGGGTGTAAGGTTTTTGGTATTTGTCTGGAAAAATGGTTTGGCGATGCTTAAAGATTTTCATTTAAAGGAAACAAATTTCGCCTTCTTTACACAGTGCATTAATTACTAATGGGTACAACCTGTCCCTGGATATTGTGCTTGTTCTAAAACAAGGTACAATTTCAGACATTTTCGTGAAGGGCATTTCAGAAAAACAGCACGGATTAGAATGTTTCCTTGAGCCCCAGTATTTTGTTTGCATTGGGTGGACAGGCATGTATTGTTAAAGTACCACTGTGATATACAGTCAGTATGTACTACGCTTTTACTCCGGGGTCGAACTGGATGAGTGTCAAAATGGCGTCATAACCAAAATCACACCAGGATTTAAACCATAAAGCAGCTAATTATAGTGATGACCTAGTTGTTAAAGTTCTCGATTCCCCATATGGGAAGCCCATTTCTAGTGTCTCACACTTGAATATTGGTGGAATATTGCTAAAAGCGGCGTAAAACCATACCCACTCACTGCCACTTGCACTGCCACTTAAACAAGTCGGTCATTTGAGCTGCAATTAACGGATCGCCAGTGTAGAGTTAACCACCCACCCAAAAGTAAGGGAGATAACTCTCAAAACATAGCTGTCAAAAACAACTGTCAAAATGGCAGTTGTGATTTCTCTTTTGTTTGATTGACAGGTGGCGATACGTTAATTACTTGATGATTGAAATGTATCAGTTCAACTCACCGTGTTGCTGTTTCAGCTGCACCTGGTTCACTTCAAGAAGGAGTATGGGAATCTTCACGATGCAGTAGATAAAGAAGATGGTTTAGCTGTCATCGGAGTGTTCCTGAAGGTGAGCTACACGGTCAATCCAACAACTACGTTTACCCATGTATGCAGTAGTCGTCATCTACACCTCCAGGGCTACTCTAACCCCTGGATTCACTCCCATGGTTCCCAAAATCTCCATTTTCTTGATTTTCTTTAGCTAATTTGATCTGGTACTAATCGGGCATATTTATGCAACAAGTGATATGTGTGCGCGGTGTTTAATGCATAATGATGGGAGGAAGGAGAAGCCCTTGGTTTCAAAAACAGAAGTTCTCCAGCTATTTTTACATGCCTCGGTGGTAAGGCTTGGTGATTCGGTCAATGGTCAGTTCATCTGTAGCTGGAATACTGAAGAGCGCAACAACCAACAACAAACAGATGACAATGCACGATCCTCAGACCCTTAACCTACAGATGTGATTTCAAACTTACATAAATGCTTAAATATCCGATCTTGAAAAAAAGAAATTTGTTGGCACTGGAAGATGGATCCACATGTAATTTATAATATAAATTTATTTCCTCTTGGTGTCCATGTTCCCAATGCGAGTATCTTCTATAGAATGTCAATGGACATTACACTGTTTTCCCTATGGAGAAGCCTGTTGCAATGATACTGCAGGTGCTTGGTACAACAGATACACCGAAACATACGTCTGAATTGAGGTCGATACAAAATGTTATACACTTAGATATGGCACACGCGTGTCTGTTGATTGTAGTTTCTGCTTTAACTCATGTTAAAAAGCAGTCATTAAGGGATAGTTGTGTATTTGTCTTTAATCACCTTGTAAACTTATTTCTAGAACGGTAGGAGATGAGACAGGAGATGTCTGACTATCTGATTTTAACGGTTGATTGAGTATCAATAGAAAAGCACACCGCTCTATAGTTAACAACTTCTTGTTTATTGCATAGAGCGACGTTTCCGTGTAGATTCTAACACCACTATCAAACTAAGATCTTCCTGCTTAACACACAATGTATGCATACATAATAGTGTTGAACTGGCATTTCTGTCTTATATGTAGAGAACCCGTATCACACTTACATCACTCCATTGGTTTGTGTGTTGGCACTCAGCAATAGTCTAGCTATATGGCGGCCGTCTGTAAATAATCGAATCTGGACCAGACAATCAAGTGATCAACAGCATGACCATCGATTTAGGCAATTGGGATAGGATGATATGTTTCAACCAAGTCAACAAGCATCAGTGTTTGAAATGCACGGTCGGTAAAAAAAACCTTTTCGTCAGAAAAAACACTTAAATAGACCTTTCCCCGCTTTTGTTTGTTTCTCCCTCAATAATTTCTCATGCTAGAGCTTATTGAGTTGGTTGTGATACCGTGGACAATACAGGTTTTTTCTCTATAGTATCACCCAAGCTTGTAAGAGACTAAAGGGATCGGGTGGTCAGGCTCGCTGACTTGTTTGACACATGTCATTGTGTCCGAATTGATCGATGTTCATGCTGTTGATGACTGGCTTGTCTGGCCCAGACTCGAGTATTTACAGAACGCCGCCATATAGCTGGAATATTGCTGAGAGCGACGGAAAACTAAACTCACTCACTCACTCACACTATAGTATCACGGTCTGTTTAACCTTCTCCAGGTAACTGATGAGTCGCATGACCATGCTTTCAATCGGTTCGTGGATGGAGTGGCGCATCTCCGTGGCGGTAGGTCTACTGATTAAACTGTACTGGTGATTAGGTGTCTTACTCCCGGAGTGTAGGTTAGAATTCCGGACGGGACTCCATCCCAAAGTACCAGAATCTGTTCTTTACTGAGAAGTGTAACCCCCGATATAACATATATATTAATTTAAATGAGGTTCAATACTCTGAGAGCGTTGGTTTTAATCGCTAAATTATTATGTTGTGAAAAAACATTAGATAATGTAGTATGTTAACGATGGGGGTGGTCTATGCAATCTGTGAGTAAGTATGATTTTACGCCGCTTTTAGCAATATTAAATCGGGGGACACCATAAATGGGCTTCACACATTATACCTATCTGGGGCATCGAACCCAGGTCTTCAACGTAACAAACGGAAAGCATTAACCACTACGTTTCCCCACCATTTCCTAATGAATTTGGTGCATTGTCTGTAGATGAAGCTGAAGAGGTGAGACTGGACCCCCGGGAGCTGCTGTTGGACCATAAACATTACGGCACCTACAAGGGCTCGCTAACAACCCCACCCTGTTCGGAGTCGGTTCGATGGGTTCTCATGAGGAAGCCTATCATCACCACAGCAGACAGGGTAGGAGTTTTCCTTGTTTATTGACGACTGAATTGGTCACAAATCGTTTAGATGACCGGAATCGCTGAGATTAAAAATAAATATATTTTCACTTGTTCATAACTGTTTACAAAATCGCCGTCTGTATAAAAGTTTGCTGGTATTTTTGACAAAAAACATTTGTGTATTTCCAGTGTAACAGAATGGTTTTGTACATTCTGCTTTGTATTGTTCCACCTGTGAATCGGGGCGGTGGGGTAGCCCAGTGGTTAAAGCGTTCGCTCGTCACACCGAAGACCCGGGTTCGATTCCCCACATGGGTACAATGTGTGAAGCCCACTTCTGGTGTCCCCCGCCGTGATATTGCTGGAATATTGCTAAAAAGCGGCGTAAAACCATACTCACTCACTCACTCCACCTGTGAATATGGTTTGATTGACAGAGTTTAGTTTTACGCGGCTTTTAGCAATATTCCAGCAAGTGTGAGGGAATGTTATATGCTTCTCTATCCTCATTCTGTTCATAACTTGTTAACGGTGTTAGAACCTACACCGACACGTCGCTCTCACTGTAATAAAGAAGTTGTTCATCCATATATTATCATCCTTCCACATTGATCCAACTTCTAAATGCCTTTCTAAGAAGACATGTAACTCAGTTATTGAGAACAGTGAATTATGATATAAATATTGGGAACTCTGGACAAAACGGTGACTTGTTTTACTCCCTTTAGTCTTTGGTTTTCGAGAACATGCGAGTATTACATCTACATCTAATATGGTTATTGCAGCTCGGCGTGTTGAAGTCGGTTCCAGTGGATGGCGGCGGGGCACTGTCGGTTGACACAAACGTCAGGCCAGCCCAGCCGCTCAATGGTCGCATCGTCAACTACACCTGTAAATAAAGACGGTGTAATGACATAGAAGATACTGTGAAGGCTTACGATCATAAGACCATGATCCAATAAATTACTGTCTCTCAAATGATATATTTGTTGCTCTGTTCTTGAAACTGTGCCAGCAGTCTTATCACGAGTGGCAAAGTCTAGTTGAGTGAGTGAGTGGGTTTTACGCCGATTTTAGCAATATTCCAGCAATTTCACGGCGGGATACACCAGAAATGGACTTGACACATTGTACCCATGTGGGGAATCGAACCCGGGCCTTCGGCGTGACGAGCCAACGCTTCAACCACTAGGTTACCCCATCGCCCTAAGTATATTTGATCTTATCCGACTTTTAACATTGACGTAAGATGAAATCCCTCAGTTTGGTTTGTGTGTTTGTTGTAACGCCGCACTCAGAAAAAACATGGTATAAACCCGCAGCCCAGTAAACCAACAGCTGATGGTCTTCAGTAAGCCATGCTTGTCGTAAGAGGCGCCGCCATATAGCTGGAATATTGCTGAGTGCGGCGTTAAACAACAATCAATCAATCAATACTTCACTACTGGTAAGGTCACCAGATTTGTAGCTGCACCTCATGTACGACTGACAACGTGGTTCTTAGACTGAAGCATGCACACTGCGCATCAACATCTTAAATATTTGTCCTGACTCAACATTGGTCTCCACCTCCAGCCAGTAATCGGCGGCAGCTGCCTGTGCATAACATATGCACCGACACGCTTCGGGACAAGAACTCAATAAGTAAGTTAGTATCTGCACTAACACCTACTGTAGCATACCTAAGCTTAGACCTAGTGGTCGTGGGCTGTGGACACCGTGTGCACTCCTTGGACAGTGAGCTTTAAAAGATGTAAGTTCATGATTGCTATTACCAAGACCCATCTTTAGTTTTCTCTAGATGTTAGGAAATCGTGTGTTTCATATGCGTTTATAGTGACAGTTCAATTTCCATAATGCATGGACGTCACATTTAAATGCTTTCGTTGCATCGTGGAGGCACCTAGGTTAGGGTCCCGAGGTGGGCACATTTCCGTAGTATCCTTGGACAAGATACTTAGATCCACATTGTCTCAGTTCACCCAGCTGTAAAATGGTTACCCGTGAGGATGTGCTGGCAATGTGAGTGTTTAGTTCGTTGCGCCTAACAGGCAGCATGGCTGTATGATACCCGGGGAGTTGAAAAAGTATCGGAAAGTACGATAGTGTCCTATGACCGGGGATAGTAATGTACGTAGCGCCGTGTGCCTGGATATGAGCGCCATATAAGTGGACTATTACTATTACTATAATCTCCTTCCATTGTCTCTGACATACATTTGTAGCTACCTGTAGGGCAGGACATGCTTACTCTTTTCACGAACACCTAATGTCATCACTGATTTTCTGTGATCCATTCACAGAATTTTCACTACCATTTTCCCCTTCAAATCAAACGGAATTATGAAGAACTGTGAGGAGAGTTGAGACTGGGTATTATCTTGCACTGACGTTCTATACTGGAAGATAATGGACACAGTGTTTGCGTTAAGTTTGTTGGTTGTGTGACGCCACATGGAGATATATTCAGGCTCCCTCACGGCTGTCTGCGAATGGTTGCGTCTGGGTCAGACAAGTACGATACGATGGCAAGGAATCAGTCAATTAAAGGAGCTGAAATACGGGAGCCAATATTGTTGCCACTTACGACAACAACAGATTGCCAGGGAAACGGTTCACATCCGGGCCCCCGTGTGGTTTTGCCTTCTTAGTAGCCTAGGGTAGCTTGATGCATAGCATGACCGGTCCCAAGAAACGAATGCCGTACCGTATTCATTTATTGTTATTCTCAACTGTGTGGACTTGTAATGATTGACATTGACATTGAGACAGCGTGTTTGACACGTGCGTTATACACGAACGTGACCTTGTTAATGGCCATGTGCACTCTTTTCTTTAGTTATAGCTACCTTGTAATTAAGTTTTGGAATTGACTATTCCATTCAGACAAAGATTGCCGGTATCAGGTCACTATGGCAAGCTGAATCAATAAATATTACTAGTCGTAGTTCACGCTAGGTCAGGGCGATAAGACAGCATTCGTCACCGCTCGCCCCTTTCCGTAACCTCCGAGAAGTCTCGCCACCTTCAGGAAGATGTTACGGGCTTACATACGAATTGGTGAAGTATTGGTGATCTTTGATAAACGATCTGGAGTATCCATGTAATCGTGAAATAGATGTATCTGATCATTCATCATTTCAACTTACAATGTACACCGAAAACAGAATTGTGTTGCAAGATTTAGTTGTTGGTGCAGATAGGTCAAACGCACAGTGAGTGATTCAAACCCACAAACTTGCGTTTGATTCCAACGGCTTGTAAGGAAATATATATTGCTGTTTCGTCACCATTCATGGTTTTTAACATGGAGTCTTAGGGACACGAATGATTAATTCTATTTGTCATTTTCACATTTCCGTTCCCCTTTCAAGACAAAAATGCATCAAAATTATAACTAGAAACTTGCTGAAATCTTACATACATATCGTGCGTAGTGATACATGTTTTCCAATGCCTAAATACACACTTTGTTAACTCCTTATTGGCATATTCATTCGCCGAAAAGGCGTTTTGAAGTATTTCTAGAAGGTACTAGACACTAAAGGTTATTTTTAATTCGTTTCTATCAAGTAAAAAAATATACATTTTGAAACGAATGTTACAAAGGTTTAATTAATTATGGAACAACAATACGCAAAGCATGGTGTATTAATACGTACTTGTTACTGTAACGATTAAAAGTGGCAGTGTAAATCATTGAGGAATAATGTCCCAAGTGTATTACATCTGAGGAAGTAAGTATATATCAATATTACCAAATTAATGGAAAATACTCGTTTTCTATTAGTTTCAGATTTGAAAGTTTGCAAACTTTATTTTCCTAGGAAAATATGAATCTGGACAATGCAGTTCTGTATTTACAAAGAAGTACTTTCAGTAAATAATAATAATGATAATAACAATATGATTGCTGTCTATATACGTACCTCGCCATGTGGACAGGCGAATATTCAGTATATTTATATTGTATTGGTCTTTGACCTAATAAAAATCTTGTCTTGTCTTGTCTAGTAAATGTTCTTCCGTTATAAACTGTTATTTAAGCATACCATAAAATTAGATCTTTATTGTGATACTGTTAGTGAAGATTGCAAATGTATAAAATATATGTTCTTCAGTGAGTGAGTGAGTGAGTTTAGTTTTACGCTGCACTCAGCAGTATTCCAGTTATATGGCGGCGGTCTGTAAATAATCGAGTCTGGACCAGACAATCCAGTGATCAACAGCATGAACATCGATCTAATTTTGTAATGAACGTTTAATGAAAACATTATATATTCTTTCTTCTCCTTTTGCTTGTGCTGAAGCCCTTTGAACATGATAAGTAATACACCTTAGAGTTTTGAATAAAACTGCTTCAGTTTTGTCAGTGTTGTATGCTTTTAGAACATTTAGTTGACGTTGTAGTCCACTGATTGAACGCGACATCATTACATCAGAAAGCGGTTTAAAACCATACTCACTCACTCACTCACTCATTACATCATCGGCAAAGAGAAGTAAAAATCAGGATGTAATTTATTATTGTGTGACACCTTTACACTTACTCTCAATTTCTCAACTAACTCATTAATAGAAAAGGTTAAAAGGAAAGGACTTCGTATACATCCTTGTCTCAGACCTAAGGTATATTAAAACCACCAGAGCTCATGCCATCACTCCCAATCGGAGTAGTTCATAAACACCAAATGATAATTCCAAATTTTAAGTATTACCTACAATTTGTAACGGTTAGCAGAGTCTAACGCTTTAGCGAAATCGACAAAGAGTACCTCGTACCTACCACCTATATTTGTAAGATATTTTTGAGTTTTCAGTATATAGATATTGTCACCAGTAGAATATCCGATCCCTGATACCAGCTTGGGTCTACTCCCATTTGTGAGAACTCCCAGTTGTGAGACTCCCAGTTGTGAGACAGTGGAGAAGGTAAGTAGCAAAGAAAACACACCTTACTCCCCTATCTGATAGAATGGATTAACCCCAGCTAATTAGGGATTAGCTATTTAACTGAATCTTGTGGAGGTAGCTTACAAGATAAAGTAATTAACCTACTCAGGTAAATGGCTTTAAAAAATATACACTTTGTGTAGGTAACTTTGTGATCAATATGAAAAGTGTCAAAATCTCCAAATATGGACTCATGTAAAAAAGTGTTTTATAATGACACACAAACATCACAATAACGCAAATCATCAAAATGTGTGAATCATCAAAAATCATAATGAAATATTTAATGAACTATTTCTTCTGTGTAAATATAATGATAATCCTTTTCAGTATTTCAGGTATTTAACTTGTTCTTTATTGAAAACAATAAATGCTCTTTAACTACTCTTCAGCAACAGGGCTCGTAGGGATTTTATAAATATTTTCACAAATGGGAGGGTCTAAACACACACCCACACCACCCACCCCACCCACCTCACCCCACCACCCTCTATATTTCAGCAGAAATCTTTCATGGCACAAACACTCAATTCAGGCATCAACGCAAGCCAAAACGGTGTTCATAGGCATTTGTAAACAGACGCATTCCTTAGGCGACCTCTCGTTCCAGACCTTTTTAGAAAATATTTGATGTCAAAATAAAACCAATACTGTTGTACTGCTCTGAAGTATGGGGCCTACAAAATACGGACTTAATAAAGAAAGTACACTTGTATGCATGCAAGAAATTTCTTGGAGTAAAATCAAATACACCCAGTGTTATGGTTTATGGCGAAATTGGGAGGTTTCCGCTGTCTATTTACTCTTCCATAAATGTTGTCAAATACTGGTTAAAACCTTTAGAGATGCCTTCATATAGAATACCGAAAAAATGTTATAATATGATGATCGTGTATGATAATAATGGAAAACAAAACTGGGTTACGGGGGTGAGACTGCTGCTCTCTACAATCGGTTTTGGTAATGTATGGTATAATCAAAAAGTTAACTCACCATGCAATTTTATCATGTCAGTGACACAAAGATTG